GAGGGCGGACACCGGCGGGGACTGCTGCTGCGGCGACACAACACCAACGCCAGGGCCACAAGCTGCGCGACGGCTACCTCCCGAACCCTCCACACCGGCACCCCCAGAAGGGACACCCCCAGAGCCCGAAACACCGCCAGCACCGGAACCACCCCCAGGCCCGCCGGGACAAGCCCCGACAGGAGCCCCGGGACTAGTACCCACCTCAACGCCAGCACCCCCAGAGTCCACAAACAGCGGCAGCGACGACGGCGGCGGCGGCGGCGGCGGCTGCAGCGACGGCCTCGACGGCGGCGGCGGGAGAGACGACGGCTGCAGCAGCTGCGGCGACGGCGGCTGCGGAGGCGGTGGAGGAGGAGACACCGGGGGAGGGACAGACGGCGAGGACTGCGCCAAAGGACTACCAGAGTCAGAAGACTCGTCGACCGGAACGACCGACGGGAGGGGGTGACGTGAGACACACCAGAGGGGGCCGGACGGGGGGCGGGGGGGGGGAGGGGCAGGGGCCACCAGGGAGGGAGGAACCAGGAACAGGGGGGGAGTAACCGGGGGACCACGGTGGGGAAAGCGGCGGTAGAAGGAGACGGACTCGTCAAAGGTGACGTCGCGAGAGTGAAAGAAACGGTGAGACGGCGGGTGGTAGAAGTGCCAGTCGGACGCGTCAAGGGGGAAACCGAGGAAGACGCAGGGGAGGGTGCGGGCAGTGAGCTTGTCCGTGCCAGAGGCACGAACGTGAGCAAGGCAGCCCCAGACGTGGAACGCAGACGCGTCACCAGGGGACCCGGTCCACAGAAGGGTCGGCGAAACCTGCGGCCGCTGGGGGTGCGGCCACAGGTTAAGCTGGTGAGCGGCGTAGCGCACGGCGAACGGCCACAGAAAATGGGGTGCACCGGCGTGGATCATGGAGGTGCGAGCCACCTCCATGACCAAACCGATGCGTCGCTCAGCGACCCCATTCTGCTGCGAGGAGTCCGGCAGGGTAAACGTCTGGGTGATGCCCTCCGCACGAGAGAAGCGACCAAGGACACCTGAGGCGAACTCGCCACCCCGGTCGGAGTGGAGGCGCAAGGCAGGGAGACCGCGGTGGAGACGAGCAGAGACAAGCCAGGGGATGAGAACGTCAGGCACGTCGGCCTTCCGCTCCAGGGGAAAGACGGTGGTGTAACGTGTGAAGTCGTCGACAAGCACTAGGAAGAAGCGCTCGCGACGCGGCCCATGGACCGGGGCTGGGCCTTAGACGTCCATGTGCAGAGTCTGCAGGGGTGCGGTGGTAGGGGGAAAAGAGGAGGAGTGAGGGGCACGGCGGAGCCGGCCCTCGACACAAGGCGTGCACGGTGGGGCGGGGGATGAGGGAAACTCAGGGAACGAACCGGGGAGACCAAGGACGAGACCGTGCTGGGACATGTGACGCAGACGCGGGAGTGCAGGGTGACCAAGGCGGTGGTGCCAAAGGAGAGTCGGATGAGTGAGGGACCGACAGGAGCACGCAGCAGCAACCTGGGTGGACGCAGCTACCTGGGGGGAAGACCCAGCCGGGGACGTCGCGGTGTCAAGTGTGAACAGGCCGGACACCGGGTCCCGGGGGAAAGTGGTAAGGGGGGCACCAGTGGCGGCCTCGGTACAGACAGCATACCGCTCGTGACCAGGGAACGTAGTGGTGACGCCAAGGTCCTGGAGGCAGCCGACACCAACTAGGTTCCTGGAGAACGAGGGGATATGCAGACCGGTGAGCGAACCTGAAGGAACCGCCGGACAGGGAAGGGAGGTGGAACTGCGGGCAACGACGGGACCACCGGAGGGGTCAGCAAGAGTAACTGCAGCGGGAACAGGCAGCGGCGTCAGCGTCGTGGAGTCGCGGAAGAAACACCGGGAGGCGCCAGAGTCCAAGGTGAAGGAAAGCGCAGCAGTCGCGCGGGGCGACAGTGAAGCGGTGGAAGCACCGAGGCTAAGCAAAGCAGGAGATCCTATGCCTGACGCAGCAGGGGAGTCTACGCTAGGCACAGCTACACTAGGCAACACGGGGTAATAAGAGGGAAGCACACTAGAGTCATCGGCATACATCACATGCAAGGCTGCTACAATGGCATCCATGTCCAAGTCAAAAATCCGAATGCTACGCCTAAGCAAGCTGTGCCAGTCCGGGAGGTCGGGCGCCGGGCCAAAGCGCTGGCGGAACAGGTCGTCCAGACGACGAAAACAGCGAGGAGTGGAATGACCGATCTTACCGCAAACGAAGCCGCGGCGAGGACCGGTCTGGATCTGGTACTGACAGGGCCCGCCTCCAGAACCACCACCCGGTGCACCACCACGCGCACGACCACCACCAGCTCCAGGCCACCCAGGCGGAAGAGCACTCGCCGGCCTCGTCTGCGGCGGCTGCTGCGGAGGCTGCTGCTGCTGCGGCTGCTGCAACGGTGGAGGCAGCGGGGCAGCTGGACCGGGCAGGGTCCCCACGTCCGCACCGGCACCGGACGACCCGCCTCCACCACTACCCCCACCCGCACCCCCGCCACCTCCGCCGCTCCCAACCTTGGGGCGGCGGCCCTTCCCCGAGCGGGACTGCACTGCAGCAGCAGTCTCAGCCACAGCGACAGAGCCGTCGGAGAAGGTACACTGAGCGGGGGCACAACCCTGAAAGATAGGGACCGGTACTGTACCGCTCGCCTGGGCTATGGAGCGGTGACGAGTCTCTATGGCAGTCAGGGTGTCAACAAAGTCGGTGAGGGTGAGAGCAGCAGGGTGGATGCTAAGGAACTGGTCGCGGGCGGCGGCAAGGCGGTCAGGGAGGCGGGTGGCAAGGAGGTAGAGGGTAGAGGTCATGGGAGGCTGGTGGACTCTAAGCTGTGCATCAGTGCAGGCAGCGCGCCAGGCCTCATCTATCGAGCGCAGGTGGGCAGCGAGGTCAGAGACAGTGGGGAAGGACGCCAGGTCAGGAAAGAGCAGGGGGAGGATCAGGCGACCCACTGAGGCAGCAGGAGGGGTAGAATAGCGCTTGATGACAGCATCGAGGTAGGCCTGGGCGGTAGAAATGGTTCTAAAGCGAGGGCGCTCAAGGGGGGGGAGGGCATTGCTAATGGCGAGCTGAGCAAGGGCATCGCGGGAAAGCCAGACTGAGCGGGCAAGGGCAGCGGCGGCAGTGGACTCGCGCTCAGCGGGCGTGGGATCAGCGGGCAGCACAGCAGGGGGGTCAGGGCAGGGGAGCATACCGTCTAGGTGTGCAGAAAGCGGGTGGCCGTCCTGCCGCTGACCAGTGAGGTGGCGGCGAAGGTCAGCCAACCACGCCTCGAACTCCAGAGGCTGACCCTCAGCATCAAAACGAAGCTCAGCAGCCATGAGGGGCAGAGGAGGACAGTGGAGTGCGGTGTAGTGCTGTGCAGTGCGGTGCAGGGCGGTGCAGTGCGGTGCAGTGCGATGCAGTGCGGTGCAGTGCGGTCCAGTGCGGTGCAGTGCGATGCAGTGCGGTGCAGTGCGGTCCAGTGCGGTGCAGTGCGGTCAGTGCGGTTCAGTGAGGTGCAATGCGGTGCAAGGCGGGGCAGGAAAGTGCAGGAGGGTGCAAAGTGGTGCGGGGAACGGGGGACAGTACCAGGAAGTATGGAGGGCCGGGGCAGGCGCGACGGGACAGGGCAGGCGCGACGGGGCCGGGCAGGCGCGACGGGGCCGGGCAGGCACGTCGAGGCCGGGCAAGCGCGACGGGGCCGGGCAGGCGCGACGAGGGGCCGGGCGGCTGCGACGGGGCCGGGCGGCTGCGACGGGGCCGGGCGGCTGCGACGGGGCCGGGCGGCAGCAACAAGGCCGGGCGGCAGCGACGAGGCCGGGCGGCAGCGACAAGGCCGGGCGGCAGCGACGGGGCCGGGCAGGACACAGCAGGGCCGGGCGGGGGCGACGGGGCCGGGCGGGCGTGACGGGGCCGGGCAGGTGCGACAGGGGCCGGGCAGCTGCGACAGGGGCCGGGCGGGCGCCACGGGGCCGAGAGGCCGCGACAGGGCCGAGCTGGGGCGACGGGGCCGAGCAGGGGCGACGGGGCCGAGCAGGGGCGACGGGGCCCAGGAGGGTGGATACGGGGCCCAGGGAGGAGCGCGGCAGGGCCCAGGAGGGGCGCAACAGGCCCAGGAGGGGCGCTACGGGCCCAGGAGGGGCGCAATGGGGGGCCCAGGAGGGGCGCGGCGAGGCCCAGGAGGGGCGCAATGGGGGGGAGGGGCCCAGGAGGGGCGCGACGAGGCCCAGGAAGGGGCGCGACGGGCCTAGGGACGGTCGCGACGGGGCCCAGGAGGGTGGATACGGGGCCCAGGGAGGGGCGCAATGGGGGCCCAGGAGGGGCGCTACCGGCCCAGGAGGGGCACTACGGGCCTAGGAGGGGCGCGACGGGGCCTGGGAGGGGCACGACGGGGCCCAGGAGGGGCGCTACAGGGCCCAGGGAGGGCGCGACGGGTCCCAGTAGGGGCGCTACGGAGCCCAGGAGGGGCGCGACGGGGCCTGGGTGGAGCGCGGCGGGGCCCAGGAGGGGCGCTAGGGGGCCTGGGAGGAGCGTGACGGGGCCTGGGAGGGGCGCTAGGGGGCCTGGGAGGAGCGCGACGGGGCCTGGGAGGGGCGTTACAGGGCCCAGGAGGGGCGCTACGAAGCCCAGGAGGGGCGTGACGAGGCCCAGGAGGGGCGCTACGGGGCCCAGGAGGGGCGCGACGGGGCGCTACGGGGCCTGGGAGGAGCGCGACGGGGCCCAGGAGGGGCGCTAGGGGGCCTGGGAGGAGCGCGACGGGGCCTGGGAGGGGCGCGACGGGGCCTGGGAGGGGCGTTACAGGGCCCAGGAGGGGCGCTACGGAGCCAAGGAGGGGCGCGACGAGGCCCAGGAGGGGCGCTACGGGGCCCAGGAGGGGCGCGACGGGGCGCTACGGGGCCTGGGAGGAGCGCGACGGGGCCCAGGAGGGGCGCTAGGGGGCATGAGCGGAAGCGGGAGGTGGGGGGGGATCCTACCTACGCGTGATACCATATCAGAATTAGAATTTCATAATGTGAGAGAGAGAGTACACAAACATATACCTAAATGTTGTACTCTCTAGAAGGTGACCCTATACAGTCTATACAAACATGATAACTACACATGTTTGACATAGGCACCTCTCAGGCATAATCTCTCGAGGTGGCAAAGTTGAGTGCCAATGCTCCAATTTCCCAACCCTGGAATCAAACTTCAGCGCTTCTTCCTCAGCTTTCCGCAGAGCGCATAGTTGTTGTACGGATGTGACGCAACGAGAGGACTGTTGCCGATCATAGAAACAAACCATTGGATATATTCCAGAACCTCGGCCTTTGTCATGGGGCCTGCCTTCGTCGCGGCAATGAAGCTGTAGCGATTGGCCAGCTGACCCCGGTTGCCTGTGATGCTCTGCCACTGGAAATTCTCGCCCCCCTCCTCGTATAAACCGTCCATGCAGGAATACACGCCCTGCACTTGAGGCGGGGTCCCTCCAGACTGAATGTTGTCGAGGCGCAATTTCGTCACAACGTAGTGTCCACCTGCAAAGGCCCTGCCAAGCGGACAAGGGGAAAAGCAGTAGAGGGAGGAGCACATATAATTTCCAAGAGCAAGAGAAGAAAGCATGAAAGCTGCTGTCCAAAGCCGAAGCTCAGACACAAAGGGCAGCACAAAAAACTGCAAATCTTACTTCACTCCCTTCAGCCAAACTTTCCCGGTAGCCCCTTTGTCGCCCACCAGTTTCCCATTGTTGCGGGTGGGACGCAACTTTGCCACATAGCTCGCTGGCAGTGGGAATGGGAGGGTGGGCAAGAGGGAAGGCAAGAAGACAGGCAAGTTGGGAAGACACTGGAAGGATGCCCCAGCATGTGTTGTACTTTCTAGGGATGCTAAGAGGGCAATTCGCCCAATCATGGAGCCAGGTGTGTCGATCTACCTGACAGCAGGATGTGGCCCCACCATGGCAAAAGAAAAGCTACCCTACCCAGGTTCCATCTGCACTAGTGGTGGTACCATACAGGCAGTAGGTGTACCTTCTCGTGGTGACAGCACATTGTTAGCACGGGTTGAAGGGAATGGGAGAGAAGGCAAGATGCGGAAGGCACTGCAAGGCACCGCAAGGCACTTACAGAAAACCTTGCCTTTCACCACGGGGCGGCCCTGAGTGAAGGCGATGCCAGAGAGGCTGCGAGGGAGGGCCGCTGACAGGGACGCGAACAGGGACTTCGGGGGGAAGGCTGCGGGGGACGTCGGGGGGAACGTCGGGGGGAACGTTGGGGGGAACGTTGGGGGATTCGTTGGGGGGGAAGTCGGGGGGGACGTCGAGGCAGGCGCTGGGGGATTCGAGGGGGGGTCTGCTGGATCCGATGATGCTGCTGACGCTGCAGCTGCTGCGAGGAGCACTACACCTGCACAAGGCACAGCAGCACCGAACCACATGGCAGGGCAGTAATTAGCACCCGCGAGCATCGGTTAGCACGCGTGAGCATTAGATTGCACCCGATGTTCTGGACCGGCGGTAGAGCCTGGATGCAAGGGCGTCAACAATGGTCGGATGCTCACAAATGAACACGCACTGCCAGTGGCAGTGGCGGGAGATCGTTGCTCGGAGTGGCGCCATGATAGGGGGAAGACAGGGAGACGATTCAAGAAGAGTTACAACAGCCAGTAGAAGACTGCTTCGAGCAGACGTGCTTTCAGAAGCGGAGCAAACGAGCCGGTTCTGACTCAATCGGAATGACTTACAATGAAAAAGCACTGAAGGTTTGTTGCTTGCCGTACGGTAGATATGTACTACTGTACGCCCTTCTGGGCGAGAGGAGTCATAGGAGCGCACTTCCGAGGGCGAAGCGCGTCACGGGAAAGGTGGTCGAGGATAGAAAGAGGAACGAGCCGCGCGGGGGCTCGCCACGAATCGCTCAGGTGATTCTTGGAGGGAACGTCGTCGATCCAAGAATCGCCGTTCCGCCATGGAAGCGACTCGTACGGGGACGGCCCGGGGCCAGCCGGACATACCGTTACTCTGCAACGCTTGCACGAACACGGCGAATTCAGGCCGCGCACAGCGCAAGCACCAGCACGCGCAATCCACGTGCACGTGATCTCCAAAGCAGCTGGAGGAGTTTCCGACTACCTGCACTAGATCTCTCGATTCCTTCCCAGTCTACGGGTTCGCCTCACCCCGCGACACCCCTACGCAGGGTCGAGATTCAATCACTTGCAATCCTACGCAGGACTCCTGCCGACAGATACGCAAGACTTATGCGAAAAAGAAAGCGCGGGCAGCCCAAGTCAAGGTAAGAGTATTTTGACCAGGGTTGACGTGACGGCTCGTCAGACGAGGTGAGCTGGATCAGAATCGCACAGCGGGCGTGTCGATGGTATGGCTTTGGGCAAGGCTCGGTCAGTCAGTGACCATTCCCGCACAGATCGGCCCGAGAGCCAAGCCAGCTTGTCCATCCACCCCCCGGCAATGCTGTGTCGCTGATTGAGCTTAGAATGGCGTCGCTGGGACTGACAGTGCATGGCCGAAATGGATCAAAGATTCAAGAACCGCGTTCCTGGGAGATCTGACACGCTGCTAGATCGATGGCTGGGGACAGCCTGAAGATTGAAACGCAATTTCTTTCTTGGATTCTGAACCGTCGGATCTGCAGGCTGGTTTGATGCTGGCGTGCATTGTGGAATCCCAACCAACCAAACTTCAGAACGAGGCCTCACAGCGTTGCCCTTGGAAACACCAAATGGGCAAACCGCGCAGCACAAGGTGAGGATCAGGATTGCTAATTGAACGAGGTTAGACGCGGTGTAGTGGGCTGCTGATAAAGCAGCGTGGGTGGAATGCGGTGACGAGTTCATCTTTGGCCCGTGAATGGAGCTGGCAGATTGGGAAGCTTCGACTAGTCACACTCCGTTGTATTTTGGTGAAGTAGAGAAACCGTTGCGGAAAGCGAGGTGTCTTTTACCGGAGTTGTAATCTAGTCTTGACCAACCAAGCCCGCTCACAGATTCTAACACGCCCTCACACCACCCCACTCACAGATTCAACTAAGAACGAGGTGCTTATTATCCGTGACCTCTGCACCCGGCGTTCTTCGCACGCCGCGAACCTCTCTCACGTGCCAGTGCCCTCTTCGCATCGCATCGCATCGGGTCGCACTTGCTCGCGAGCCTCGTGTGCCGCGCGAACTGCTCGCGAATGTCGCATCTCGTCGTTACTGTGTGACCCGCGCAGCGCTCGTCGCCTCGTCCGTCGCCGCCATGCAGAAGGCATCGCGGCCGGGCGACGCGGGCATGTCGAGCATGGAGCGAGTGGTGTGTGGCTGCTACGCTATATAGCCATGGAAACCTAATTCAGTCTGCCATATCTCCGTGTGTCCCCTGCCCCGTCCATGGGAGCTGTTCACCCTGACGGACGGCGCCATACCATCGCATCACCATAACGTCGTGCCATTATGCCACTGTCCCCTGCCCATCTCACCCCTCAAATCAGAACGCGGAGCTCATCACCCTGGCGGACGGCGCCATGCCACTTCGTGACTAAGCAATCAAGCCAACGTGCTCTCACTCCACCCCCTTCCACCCCTAACGACAGAACACGGTGCTCTTCGCGCTCACGCACGGCGCCATGCCACCGCATTAACATGCCAACGTACCATTATGCTGTACCACCGCGTGTCCCGTGTGTGCTCACGTACGGCGCGATGGTGCGGCAGCTGCTGACGGACATGAGAAGGTCAACAAGCAGGTCGGCGCCATGTGAGTGCAGTGCAGTGCAGTGCTGGGTGGGTGCTGTACGGTGAATAGTGGTGCTTGCTGTGATAACAGTAGCTATGGTGCGGCAGCTGCTGACGGACCTGGAGGATATAGGGAAGTCAACAAACATCTGGACGCCATGTGAGTTCAGTGTTGTACGGTGGGTGCTGCGTGGTGGCATTTGAGGTGTGGTGTACTGAGAGACAGCTGCATATGAGATGGCATGTGGTGCTGTGCGGTGGCATGTGAGTGCTATGGGATGCTGCATGGTGTCATGTGAGTTGCACCATGTGTGCCGGAAGCCACATGTGCGCAACCTGATTAGGGATCTCTCACTCTGCTTTCTCCCTCACTTCATCGCCTCATGTGTGTGCTGCCGTTGTGTTATTTTGAGGCACGAGTGCAGGCTGGTGCTGGACCCAACTTGATTAATCTCAGTTCTCACCCCCCCCCCTCCACCCCTCACTCCCCTCTCCCCCACTTGGCAGCTCGGCTTCAAGATGTTTCTGGGCGTGACGGCAACGGTGACTAACTGGAGCACGGAAGGAAGCGAGTGCAGCCTGGGGTCGGACCCACTTTGATGCGTCGATATTGTGAACCTTTCTGTAGAGGGTACAATCCCCTCCTTGTACTGCTCTCTCTTCCTAATCGACTCTCTTCTTTCTCGACATTCTCTCCTACCCGCTCCTAGATCTACTTTCATCATGCCATTCCATGGCGGCATTCCTAGTATCCTAGCTAAGCTAGTGTCCTAAGTTTAGGAACCTAGACTCCTAAGTTTCTGAGACTAACATATATAATTTAACACACCCCCTAGGCTTAGTAGTAGAAGAACCCACACCCCTTACCTAGCACCACCATTCCAAGCAGCAGCCACGACTACTTCGGCGCGGCCAATCCCACGGTTTTTGTGACGAAGTTTTCTCCACAGTCTGTTTTTCAGACGAAAAAGAATCGCTCGCCTGGGTTGTAATTGCGACAGCGTGAACGCGTATGTTACTACTGTACATGGTGTAAATGTTTAAGTAAGAACTGAATAATGAACTAGAAGGAGAAACCTAGAACAAATACTAGTTGGTTGTACTTACTATAAGCATACCTCAGTCTAGCCTATAACTTCTACATAGGTATATATGTATAAGTTTACACCCCCTAGGCTAGACAAAGGGTGAAGCTAAGCAAGAAGCAAACAGCTCAAGGTGGCACTACTATTCCAACCACTGAGGCAGGGGTCTGGAGACCAGTCAGCAAGGGTACAAACAAGACTAAAGCAAGCCAGGGCGGCACTACTAGTCCGACCACTGGAGGTGAGGCCACAAGGCCAGTCTGACATGTATATATAGTAGAGAGTACACAATAAGGTTCCTAACAAGTGAGAAGCTACAGGAACAAGACCAAGTTGTACACAGTGCCGCTGATGATCTCTAGGCGCAAACGCCTTAGTAAAGATATTAGCTATGTTGGCACCGGAGGCCAAGTGAACTACGTGGGCCTGGCGACGCTGCTGTAGCTCGCGCAGGAGGAAGTACCGCAGCTGGATATGCTTCGCTCTGCCCTCAAGTCGAGGCTCCAGACACAGGAGAATCATGGCCCTGTTGTCAGAGCTAGACCGCTCACCTAGATCAGTGTGCAAGAAGGTCAGCCAGCGAAGCTCCTGTGCCGCCATGGCACCAGCGTAGATCTCAGCCTCACAGCTGGACTGAGCAACAGACGACGAACAAATGAATCTCCAAGAGATAGCACCCGAACCAAGGCTGAAACAGTAGCCCTGAGCTGACCTGAGAGTCTCAGAGTCGTCTGCCCAAGAAGCGTCTGTGTGCCCAGTGAGGACCACCGGCCTGCGTCCTCCGAGCACTAACCCCATGCCCGATGTACTTGCTAGATATCGCAAAACCCTCTTAGCGGCCGACCAGTGCTGTGGTCGGTGTCTGCCAGTGGCCACAAAGCGAGCCAGGATGCTGAGAGGGTATGCGAGATCTGGGCGAGTGCAAGTCATCAGGTACATGAGGCAACCCACCAGCTCTGCGTAGGGGCCACTGGGCTCTACTGGCTTCTTAGGAACGGGAGCGGAGAGCCCATGGTCTACTGGTAGAGGTGTGGGCTGTGCGGAGGAGAACTGAAGACCGAACCTCTGAAGGACCTGACGCACCAGGTGTGACTGTGTCAGAGTGATGGTGCGCGCTGCTCTGTCCCTAAAGATCTGCAGGCCTTCACAGAGGCCAGTGCGTCCCTGTGAACAATAGCAAATACCAGGTCGTCTACGTAAACAAGGATGTAGAACGGAGTCTGGCCGAAACGCACAAACAGCGACGGGTCAGCAGAGGACGGAAAGAACTGCAGGTCTGCTAACGTGGCACGCAGTGTGTCGTGCCACTCGCGAGGAGCCTGACGCAGGCCATAGACCGGGCGCCTGAGAAGCCACTGGGTCCCAGGGGGGAAGGTACCAGTGAAGCCCTGTGGTCGGCGCAGGTAGACTTGCTCGTGTAGGCTGCCGTGAAGAAAGGCAGTAGAGAAGTCGAGGGAGTGAAGCTCGTAGTCGCGCTGTGCTGCTACGTGTAGCAGCGCTCGAAGAGTGGTCATCTTCGGGGTCGGGGCGAAGGTGTGAAAGAAGTCAACCCCCTCGCGCTGACTGAAGCCTCTGGCCACGTAGCGCGCCTTGAAGACAGGCGGCTCTCCAGGGGGGCGCTTCACCTTGAAGAGCCACCGACCATCGACTACGTTCACCCCAGGCGGGGGAACTGCGTCGACGTAAGTGCCGGTGGACCTCCAAGATGCCATCTCCTGCTCCATGGTAGCTATCCACTGAGAGGCCCAAGGTCCCGAGGTGGCCTCAGCGTAGGTGTGAGGAGTCGGGATGTCGAAGGCGTCTGGGTCACCCTCAAGGACTAACAGCATGGAGCAGAGATGGGGAGCAGCCTCGGAAAGGAAAGCGAGCTCGTAGTGCCTGTCCTCTAGGACGTCATTGCCAAGGGCAGGAGCACCCCCGACGGACGGAGGACGGGCAGGGTCAGAGACCAGAGCGGTAGCGTAGTCAAGGCGGCGGGTAGAGGCGAAGTCAGCGACAGCAGCGACAAGCGCGTCAAGGCGTGAGACAGGAACAGAAGGGTCGGTAACAAGAGAGGCAAGAACCCGAGGGACAAGGGGACGAGCGGCACGGAGGTAGTCAGAGAATGGAGGAGGTGCAACATCAAGCGACGAGGGAGGAGGTGACGGGAGGAGGGGAGGATGAGACGAGTGGGAACGGAGCAACATAGGGTGGGAGCGCAGGACATGAGAGGCGGGACGGGCACGTGAGGGACGACGAGACCAAATGTGGGACGGAGACGTAGGGTCAGGAGATAGCGGAGGGGACACAGGAAGGGAACAAGGAGGAAGACGGGCCAGAGACGAGTCCGGCGGCAGGAACACAGGGCCGTAGACAGGAAGGTCAGCAGGCGGTGGGGGAGACACCGGCGAGAGGTCAGGGGAGGGAAGGCCGAGCGGAGATTGGCGGCGACGGCTGCTGCGACGGCTGGGTCGCGACCCTCTTACCGGCAGAACTCTCAACGGCAGCACCCCCAGAACCTTTTCCGCCAGAGCGAGAACGCTCTCCAGCACCAGCGGCACCCCCAGGCCCGCCGGGACAAACCGCGCCAGGAGCCGCAGGATGAACACCCTCCTCAACGCCAGCTCCCCCAGAGGCCAAGAGCGGCGGTGGCAGCGGCAGCGACGGCGGCGGCGGCGGCGGCAGCGGCGGCGGA